GCTGAGCCACAGTAACCGGAGCAGTACAGACTGATTCAAAATGGATATAGAGAAAGTGAATATGGCCTGGAAGGAGACAGACAAAAAGAGTCAAGGACCAAGAGAGGGTGAAAAGGAGCAATGTCTTAGAGAGACACCTTTCCTGGCAAGACATGTGGAAAATAGAGATAGAGAGATTGGTTTTGTTTATGATCTTTTGCCAGCAACTACTTGCTTACAATACAAGAGATAGGTCAAAGATGATGGGTGTACCTGATGATGACAGGAAAGCCATTTTTTACAGTGTGTTTTGCTGTCCTAGGAGTTTAGTCTGGTAGAAGGTATTCAGGCATACGTTTAAAATCAATCATGCATGTGACAGCCAACAATGTATTTCAGATAATCCATTGGAACAAGTGTTTCACTTGCTAAATTTGAGGCACAGATAAAGAGATGCAAAAGCAAATTGAGTGGAAAAAAAATCACTTTATTAAATGTTTCTATTTTCCCTTTTCATCAGCATCAAAGCCAGAATCATCCTGACACAACAGTAATTGTATAAACGGCTGAAATGAAGTAAAGAGGTTATTGTCATTGAATAGCTATCTCCATGGCAATCGGAATAGATTGTATACAATAAAGAGTGAAAAGAAGTAAATGAATAATGAATAAATACAATGCACATTCTGAGAGAACTCAGAAGCAAGCTGATGGTTGAGAGGGTGCCAGAAAAGTTACCGGAGTTCGTGATACCAGAAATGACCAACATTCTAACTTTGTTAATTTGTGAGATAAAATTGTCCCCAAGTTGGAATGCAAATTTAGAGGAAATGGCCCAGGATAGCTTTAGCTAGGCATAGTCATCACAAAAACAGTAACTGAATTAATCTTAACAGGAGATTTTTATATACTCTTATCAAATTAACCTTAAAAAAATTTCTAGCTCCTGTGTGAATATTTTGCATTTGTCACAGTAAAATATGTAATTGTTTCTGTTGAAGTCACTAGATATCATCAAAGGCAAAAATATATCTTCCTGGACGCATAGTAACTAGTCTTTACTGAGCACTTTATAATGCCAGGCGTGGTGTTAAGTGCTTTTATATATATGTCTTACAGTATCCCTGGGAAGGTGGTATTTTTAATGTCTCTATTTACATATGGAAAAAATGAGGCCCAGGAAGGTTAAGTAACAGTCTCAGGGACACAGCTGAGAAGTGACAGTGCAAGTCTTCTATTGCCAGGCTGTCCCACTCTATATTAAAGAGTTTTATATATGCCCAGACAGATGATCACTCACCACCTGCAACAACAGCCAATGTGGCCTTCATTACTTTATTTTGATGGCACTTGGGAACTATATACAAGCCTTCCTGTTCTGGCTCACAACCATGGTACGTCTCATCACTTATGATACTGGTTCCTGGCTGGGAGGGTGATCTGGTGGTGTCATCTACTACCACACTGACTTCCAGAGTTGATTCTGTGATCTTACTGGCTAGAAAGGTTTGCCCTTCCTCCCCCCTCAGTCTGGGGCAGTCCTCCAGAGACCCATTCTTTGGTTGTAGATGTTTATAGAAGCCATCCTCTTTCTGGAATTAGTGAAGTGAATGCTGAAGGTGGTTCTATTCAAAGTATGTTCCTCAAAATAGCAGAGTGGCAACACCGGAGAGCTTGCTCAAAAGGCAGCTTCTTGGGTCCTACCACCCAGATTTACTATGTCAGTATCTTTAGGATTTGCATTTTACCAAGACATCCAAGTGATTTGTGTGCATATTAAAATTGGAGAAATATCAACTTAGAGGACTTCCTTTAGCCATCACTTTTCCTCACGTTTAGAAGATCCATTACTGTGTGTCAAGGGAGTCTTCCAGGACTCAGTTGCAGCTGACCAGAGATTTCCCTAGCTAGACATGGTAGGTGACAGTTGTAGCCCTACTTGAAAATGGCTCTTCTTCATAGAATTATAAATTGGAAAATGTTTTTCTCAGAGCCTTAGTTTTCCTCAGATTGCCAACAAAATCAGTGACACAAAAGCTTCACTGTGGAATCAGACCTGTCATAGCTCCTTGACTTTCGTGTGTGCCTCACTTCATAAAAGAACTCAAAACTAAAACTGAAAAGCTACATAGAATTCAGGTCAGTGTAAGATGGTAGAAATCATGGCAGCTGACTGTGAAAGCTTAGTGACAGACTTGTGATACAAAAACAGCACTGCTGCCTCCCATTTCTTCCCTTTATTCCTGGCTGCCTCAGCACTCACCTTTTCCTAAATATTTATTTAGTATTCCAGAGATTAATTTTGAGTAAGTGCTTAGTGCCAGAGTCTTATCCTGCCAAATAAGAGTCAAGTCTACTTGAAATGATGCCATCAGTGCATAAATTATAGAAGGATAATATAAACAAAATAAGAAATTGTAAGCAAAATCACCAATAATTTATATTATCAGCCAAGTGAAAGCTCTATTGAAACACAGTCTGGTCTCCCTGTTTATGACCAAGCCCCAACAAACACTCCATGATAAAATAAGAAAACTAAACTTGACTTGACTGTTAATTGTCCAGAACCAAGGGTCTTCAGTACAGATTGCAAACAAATCAAACAGTTAAAAATCCCAGTTTTTCGCAAGTGATTAGTGTAGATTTTCTTTAACTTTAAAATCAATTTACTTATTTTTCATCTTGTACTAAAAATTTACCCCCACCTGCCTCCATATCTCACTTCCTCCTTGTCTATCTCTGTATCTGCCACCCTATCTTTGAAGTTTTTGCATCTCTCTCCTTGTGATCACACAACTTATTTTAGAACTGGCCAGGGTTTCTTTAGAAGGTTTCAATCTGGACTCCTAACACCCAGAATTTAAATTCATTCTGCATCCCGGACAAAGCAGGAATTAGAGACGTGTACAGACAGACATGACATGAAGACAGATGCCAAACAATAGAGGGCTAAGGAAAGGCAGATGTCGAGGGGGGCAAAATTCAAATAGGAGAGAAGTGAATCAATAAATACATAAGAAGTGAGAGAGCCGAGAGAGAAAGAGAGAGAGAGAGAGAATAAAGACCCTTTAAAAAGGACCACAGGATTTTACAAGGTCCAGACAAAAGATTCTCATCTAAACATGGTCAAAGTATGTGAAATTTAGCACTTATACTTAACAGCTCACTTACCCATTTTATACATAATAGCATAATTACTCTTCAGTTGTGAATGTACCTGATTATACCCATAAGTGGAATGGTAAAAATCATTGTTATGTCAAAATTTTAGTTAAATATGTTTTATTTTCTAATATTATATTAACATCAGCAAAATTATTGCACATACTACATATAACTTTTCAAAAAGAAAAAGTAAAGAAGTACTTTGGCAAGTGGGCAATATAGAATACATGGTGTCTAATATAGCTTTCTAAAGCATCCCCTAATTTAATGGTAAGACCCAAACAGAAGCAAATTGTCAAGTGTGCAGCCAACTGGTCTGCTAAAAGAAATTGCCACATTAATCTCCATTTTGGCCCTAATGAGTAACTAACCATTTCTGATACTTACCTTATTTTTGAGAAATAAAATATACAAGTGAACATAACTAAATATATTGTTTAGGCATAGTTACATATGATAATAATATTTTTCTAAAGGAAAGGGATGCTAAACATAAACCCAGAAGGAAGGCAGTGGAATGCAATAAGGAAAAGCACAATGGTATTGGTGATATTCTAGTTCTTAAATTGGGTAATGAAAGTTTATTTTATTACTAATCACCATGCTTTATATGTTACATGTCTTCATATGCACAAAATTTTATATATTAAAATTTTAAACAAATCATCCAAATATTTTGTTATGCTGCCAATCCATAGAATGCTAATTCAGAAAAAAAATGGAGTGATGAAAATTCACAAGTTTGAACACTAATTATGTGGGGGTAAGCTTATGCCTTGAAATATTTTTCCAATTAAATTGAAAACAGAAGGGGCACCTGGGTGGCTCAGTCGGTTAAGCGTCCGACTTCGGCTCAGGTCATGATCTCACGGTTCGTGGGTTCGAGCCCCACATCAGGCTATGTGCTGACAGCAAGCTCAGAGCCTAGAGCCTGATTCAGATTCTGTATCTCCCTCTCTCTATGACCCTCCCCTGCTCACACTGTCTCTCTCTCTCTCTCAGAAATAAATAAAACATTTTTTAAAAAAATTGAAAACAGAACACATCATTTCTGCCAGAGAAGTTAAGGGTAGGACTCCTGGCCCTTCTGTTTCTTGGTTGTGCTTGAATGTAAAAACGACAATTTTGTTTTTTTCCAAGAATAATTGTAACCATTTTTTCTCAGAACAACTAACTATAAGTTTTGCAGATAGGCTGTGATGAGTTTTAAGATGCAGTGTTTTCCTTACTAGAGTACTATGTGTTTTAGTTTGGATAAATGTCTATAAATGCCATAAGAGAGTTGAAGGATCTACTATAATTCTTTAAAAACCTTCCAATTTTTAAAAGCTAGGCACATTACAACAGGCAGAAAATAATAAAGACTTGTTGAAGATGTGGTATGCCAACATGTGTAAATATCTTAGGATATGTATATAAACAAGACAGATAAATGGAGACTGGGCAACAATGAGCTAAATTTACAGCCTGTTAAATGACCATGCCCTAAGTGTACTGACTCATCAGTGAGTGGTGGACAACAGGGCTCTTAACCTCAGATGATGAAGTAGAAGTAAGTAATCCGCACTAGGTGTACCAGATTGTATGAAAGTGGGGAAATTAGCTAATAAAATGTGGGATAAAAGCAATATCCTTGTGTTCTTCACAAACTAGACTGATGAACCAAATCCAACAAAATACATTTAATCAGAGTATGTGTAAAGTTCAATACTTAGTTTTAAAAATACATAGCAAGACAATTTTTTTGTGAAAAGTTACCAAAAGTGAATTTGATTTTTGCCTGCATGAATAGTGGTAGAGTGTCCAGAAAACTGAGACAATCATTCTCCACTCTGAACTATTCAATCTCCACTCAGGAAATTTTCCATTTAAGTGCCACATCTTCAAGAAGATACTGAAGAAAACAACCAAAGAGATATTAAAGAAAAAAACCAAGATAATGGACTGTCTTGAATCAGCATCACATATGGAATAGTGGATATCAAAACTAAAGAAGAAAAGACATAGCAAAGAAAGGAAAATCAGAGTTCAGCTATGTGTACAAGTACTTCAGGCACTCTCATGTGAGTAATTAATTTGATTTGCAGATTTCTGTCTTAAGGGGAGAACATGGCCAAAGAAGGGAAGAATTATCTAACACTTATTTTTCCTGGGGATAATTTTAATTATGGGAATGCTAAAAGGGAGATTAAAATATTTGACTCAGGATTATATTAGATTAATTTTAATATTTCCAAATCTAAAGTGTATGTGTGATTTCAAATTTGTGTACTTTTCCCAATTAATACAATGTTTTTAAGATTTAAAAAAAATTTATTAGCTCAATAAAATTTGAATTCAACCATTGTATAAATACAGAGAAAAACTAGAATCAATAGATTCTAAAAGACATGATGTTAAGAAAAAGGTTAAACGAAAGAAAATTCAAATGTGGTAACCAAGCCAGTCTTAACTTTCCCATCAGCTTGACAAACTTTAGACAGGCTGCTTCCTGGCTTTATGCCCTGAATTCCCTTTCCTTAAGAGCATTTACTTTAAAAAACATAATTGTTTTCTAAAATGATGTCTTAGCCCCTTTGAGATGTAAATCTTCTCTGAGCCTCTTGAATGATTTATGAGTAAGGAATGGCTTTCTCAAGGGTCTGGGAACTACCAGTTTGAAATGAAATCATTAAGAGAGATAGCATCCCCTATTTTCCATCTCTGTGGAAAAGTAGGAGCCTACCTTGATGCTCACCAATTAGCAAACATAGATGGGCTAAAACAGACAAAAACATCTATACATAACTCAGGAATAACTCAGTGTTACAGCACACCTTACTGCTTAGCCTCTCCCCTCAAGTGCTTCAGTACTTTCCACTAGCTCACCCTAGCACTTTTAAAATCCCTCTCTCCTTATGTTTCAAGAGAATTCATTTCAGACTGAAGTCTCTATCCTATATTTCAGTATCCTTGAATAAAATTTCCCTTACTGTTCAACTTTCTCCGGTGCAGTTTTTAGTTTTGGCAATGGCAGCCAAGGTAACACCCGAGGATAGAAAGCCAGGCAAGGTGCCTGGGTGGCTCAGTCAGTCCAACACATATTTTCGGATTCCTATCAGCCCTCTGTACGTATAATAAGGCATGACCTACTGGCATAATAAGGCATTACCACAAAAGACTTTAATGCAGAATAAAAAATGAGTCAAGTGGCTTAAGAGATCTTATAAAGTTCAGTGAGAGAATCATAAATTTCTATGGTTGGTGTTAGAGATGAAAGGCACAAGATTCATATGTAAAACTCCAGAAATAACAAAAAGCAAGAAAGTTTTGACACAGCTAATACTAGATCAGGAGTCATTAATCAGGTATAAGTAGCAACAGAGTTGTTAAGTAGGTGACATGAAGTTTAAGTGGTGGAAAGAATGGCAGTCTGTCTCCACTACTTACTTCTTGATTGGTATAGGGTCACCAAGTGGAGTGACCTCCCTTCCCTCCCTTCTCTCTCTGTGACTGTATATGTACACACACACACCCCACATATACACACACGACATAAGGTATGTAAAACTTTTGGCAAGGCACTATCTATTGGTTGTTATTGCTACTGTTTGTATCATTAAATTTATATCATATGTTTTAATAATAAAAACAGTAATAACAGCCAATAATACATGGTGCCTTGCCAAGTGTTTTACATACCTTATGTTATTTAATCCTTCTTACTATCCAATGAGGAAGATACTATTATTATTACCATTTCTTTGCTAAGGAAACTAACAGTTAGATAAGTCATGCAGCCAGTACATGATGAGGCTGACATTTAAACTTAAGCTAATTCTAGAACCCATATTCTTGTCTAATTAATCCAGTGGTCCTCAAGTCTAACTAAACATTAGAATCACCTAGAGTGCTATTTAAAAATATCAGTATACGGGTCCCATTATCAGAAATTCAGATTTAATTGATTTAGGGTAAGACCCAGACATTACTATAAAGACCAAACCAAAAAAAAAAAAAACCCACTAAAATTAAGTAAACTCTTGTCAAGGTGACTACAATGTTATTAACTATGGCACTAAGCTATTCTGTTTCTCCTACGATTTTTGTGGTAGAAATAATAGCACAAATCAATACCAACAGAGACAAAGCTCACTTTTCATCACTTCTTCACCTCTAATTCACATTAAAAAGTAGCAGTCTGGTTTCCACCCTCACCATACTCTGACTGCACATGCTAAGGCTAGCAACTACTTCTGACAAATCCACCATCCTTTTTATATTCCATCTTCCTGCATCACTTGACATCATGATTAAAGCATCACCCCTGAAACTATACTTCTTCCCCATTTTGTAAAATATGTGGTCTAACTGTCCTGCTGTTCCCAATGGATTTTCTTCCACGTCTCCTCTTTTTAATTTTCCAGAGTTCCATCTTCATTCTCTACCTTTCTCATTTGCATTCTAGCAGAGTACCTCACCAACTCCCATATTATCAGGTATCCCCAAAGAAAAACAAACTCTCCGTTACTGTCTCCAGCCCCTCCTGGACCTCTGTTCCACACATCTAACTGCATATCCCAAGTGTCTCCACCTGCTTCACTGCAGACCAAGGATGCTGGACCTCATGGGAATTAACAGCCCAGAAGCCTGGGGTCTCTCATTTTATGCAGTATCTGTTGTTCTGTGCATTGTTTAGGGCAGGGTGGTCATTTACTCCTCAGCAACTGAGGGAAAAGTAAACCCACCATGCCTTCCACACCCACCTCTTATAGCCTTAGAGGGTGTCTATACTGCTGATGGCCATGAAAAGCTTATGAAGAATATTGTTTTAATAGAAATTTAAGGAAACAGAAATCAGGAGAAATATATTCTGTTAGGTCTTTTGCCTATTTCCTGGTTCTCCAATACACAGTTTATCTACCACGGCACAAGCCAAAGGAGAAATTGCTCATAGTCATGGCTGATTTTCTGTTTCTCAAATTTCTTTATTCTGACTCTTTGTGCTGCTAACTAGAACTGGTATATTTGAGTTTTTGTCTTTTCTTTTTACTTCAAATATTTAAGTAAATAAATATAATTTATTTCCCAATTACTGTATATATAATTGATACTGCTTTTTTCTCATTTCTGTGACATGCTGCCTTGAAAAAAGACAAATTGTCAGTTATATGTCTATTTTTAATACAGTGATGTTCATTAATTTTACTCTGTAAGGTAATGAAAGAAATAATTTACTTTATTACTACTTTAAAATTTTATAGTATTATTCTTAACAGTCATGGTACTGCTGATTATAGTGATAACAGGTGAGCTATTTTATTTGGTGAAACTTGTTCATAATTTATAATGCCTATTACTAGAATGTTCATCTTAAATTTTTATCTTTATTACATAAGAACAGAAGACTATTATAGCATCCTATTCTTTGTTTTACTAGATTTATGAATGAGTAATAACTTAAAAGTATATAAATTAAGCACCTGGCTCAGTAATCAAAATCCAAATTTATATGAGTTATAAGCCCTTAGGTGCCTGCTCATTATTAAGTGATAATTATCTGGGTGAATATGCCATTTCATTTATCAAAAGTGCATGTGTTTTGCAATTTATATAAAGACAAAAATCCAATTAGAAGATTTGCAAAGGTAATCATTTTGTTACTGAATATATTAAACTTTGTCATATTAAAATAATCTCCCCAGTGTTAAATCTTTATATCAATATCTGTCATAATTTCCTTTTGCTTACAAGTTAATATGCATACCAGGCATACTGGATACAAAAGCATTCAATGGATTCTCTTTTTAACTTCATAAGTTGTAATATTAAAAAAAAAAAAACATTTTCACTGTGCTCCAAGTAAGACTTGCTGAGACTTGCCTATGAACAGAGATTCTCCAAGATATTTTAATTTCTTTTTATTTTCGACTTTGAGCATAGTTCTAAACTAAAAAATTTAGGATGGTTTATAATCTAATTTTTGATAGAAATTTTTGAATTGAGTTGGAATCTGTTGTGTTTTACAATACAAATCTTTTCATAGAGAATTAATAATGGGGAGAAAAACTCAAGCAATTTTCATGGATAATTCACCATTAGGAATCTTCATTATGAAATCCAGTTGAGTATAAAATAGGTAAATTAATGATGGATTCCACATGTCCTTCCAACATGGAAGCACTGTCTACTCTGTAAAATAAAAAGCTTCATAAGAAATAGGACTGACATGTATTTATGAGTAATAGTTTTAGGAAGAAAGACGAATTGCCTGTTATAGGCTATTTTTGATCAATCCCAAAAAGTCTGGCATTTGGCCACTGCCTACCTGGCCCTGTATGACCCACAGACATGTGCACTGACTACCAGGGACTCTGCCAGACACTTTTCCCCTGTAGCCTGTGGGGCACAGAAATGCAAATTGAGACAGAAATGCCCTTGGCTGCCTACACAACTTCTCTCTTTGGTTATTTGGCAGGAATACTCAGCCAAAATTAACAGTCTCCCATCTTCAATCTCCTTCTCACATATCCCCAGCAGTGCAATCCACAGTTATTAACAGTAGAGAATTCTTAGTTTGATATAGAGTCCAAGCATTAAAAACAGAAGAAAATAACTAAGTCAATGGAATCTTAAGGATAGAGACCAGGGATATTTTTTGTGTGTGTGTAGGATAGGATTTTGTAGTCATGTGCCAAGGAAATAGAGTGTCAGAAGACTATTCTGTAGTTCTAACAAAAGATGTGAGGAGTAATATGCTCCTGGATTTTGAAACCAAATACTGGGATTACAAAAGTCATAGTTTTCTCTGAATGAAAAGAGCTATTTGGTTGTCTCTGTCAATTTAAAAATTACTGAGAAGGTGAGCATTCTGAACTTAGTCTCTACAGATTCTTTC